CGGCAGCAGTGTGTTGTTGCTTGGAGCAGGATACGCCAGAGGCTCAAACCCAGACAGTGATTTAGGGAATATCATTCCCAGAGCTAGATAAAGTTTACACACACAATTTCATTTGATTCTCATAACAGCCTTATGCAACTGATTTATTTTCCCCATTTTACAGATCAGGAAACTAAGCTCAGGAAAGTTAAATGTAGAGAGTCACAGAGCTCAGAGGTGGTAGAGCAGAAATTTAAATCCAGGTCTGTCTAACTCTAAAGCCATTCTCATTCCTCTCTAATATGGTCAATAATATTGTGATAGCATGGTATGGTGTCAAATGGTTGCTGGACTTAATGATGATCACTTCTTTAGGTATATAAATGTTGAGTAACTATGGCGTACCCCTGAAACTAATATAATATTGTATGTGAGCTATATTTTAATACACATCTTTTAAAAATATTACCCATTGTTTTTATTTTAAAAGATTTTAAAAAAGAAGAGTTAACCAGTAAAAACCAGATCATTATTTTAGAGCAAACTACTGGTGTAGTTTGGTGCCATTTTCATTAATCTTGAACTTTCTTTCATTCCCTTATTCTGACTCCTAGTTTGGAGTCAGAAATCCTTCTCCGAGTTCGTCCTTCGTCCTCTTGGCTGCCGCTTTCCCTGAAAATTGCTTCATCCCTGGGCAAGCTGTTAACTCTGCCTGGGTTATCTGAAGATAATCACAGAGAAGGCCCTTTCAACCCTGTTGTCAGCACTTCATTTCCTTTATAATCTCTGAAAAGAAAGGTGAATAGCTGCACAGAGCACAGGCCATTGGCCTGCTTTCAAGTCCCAGCTCCTCCACCTTCCAGCTCTTTGATCCTGAACAAACATCTATTATGTGCTAGTCACTGTGCTATGTATTCTATAAATGTTATTTCATTTAAATAAATTGCATGCTTGTAGCAATATGAGACGATCTCTGAAGTGCATTAAGTTTGTTTAAGAAAGCATTGGTGGGAATAGTGGGCATAATATGCTACTGCATGTATTAAAAAGAAGGGAAAATAAGAATCTATAGCAATATTTGCTTTATATGCATAAATAAACTATTAATAGTGGTCCTTTATGGGTGGATTAAGTGGCAGTAGGTATGGAAACAGGGAATGGAGGGAGACTTTACTGTGTAGCTTTTTATGCTTTTTGGATTTTGAACCATGTGGCTATATTACCTATTCAAAAAATGTAAATGTATATGTCAAAATAGCAGCCTAACATTCTGCTGTGGCAGATATTGTGGTTAGAAAAAAAATATGGGTTTTAGAGTCAGACAAAGCTTGGGTTCAAATCGCAGCTCTGCCTGTTACTTGCTGAGGGACCCTGGGTAAGTTATATCCTCATCTGCAAGGTAGGGATAAATGCCTCCTTACCTCACATGGCTGTTGGGAGAACTATAGGAGATGATGGATGTAAAAAGGAAAATATCAAGCCTGGTGCCTGGCTCACAATAGCTACTCAATAATGATGAACACATTTCCTGCCAGACATTTTTACCATGCAGTGTTTAGCTACATTCTTAGTTTCAGTTTCCCATCAGCATGCTTTGAGTACAGTTGTTCAACCAGTTATGAATCTTCATAACTGTACTATCATTTCTCTTCGATTTCTGCATCTCATCCACATCAATGGCATGAAGGCATTGTCACATGCCTCACTTATTTCCGCATGGTGTGCCCACCATTTCTTCTGCTCTACCAGTCTAGTGACCATACCCAAGAAAGAAATGAGGTCAGTCTTGAATGACTTGTTCTTGAGGACACATGATCAGCACTTCTCTTTCTAACTGCTTATAAGCCTGTCTTTAAATATTGTAGAACACTATGCTATCAGTGCTGTCAGTCTCACCAGGCTATACTGTAGTTCCCAGAGGCTGCCTTCTTCTTCCTTCTGGGGATCTAATGTACAGCATGGTGACTATAGTTAATAATGCTGTACTGTATAATTGAAATTTGCTAAGAGTAAATTGTAAGTGTTCTAACTACAAAGGTAACTTATGTAGGTGATGGATGTGTTAATTAACTTGTTTGTGGCAATCATTTCAATATATATTCATACATACAGAGGGTGCCAAAAAATGTATACACACTTTAAGAAAGGGAAAAACTATTAAAATTGTAATACACATTATATACCAATAACAAAATATGTATATATATATATATATATATATATTTTTTTTTTGGCACCCTCGGTATTAAAACATCACATTGTATACCTTAAATATATAGTTTTGTTTGTCAATTGTGCCTAAATAAATCTGGGGTAAAAAGAAAATTGGGATAGTGTTTTTGCTCTTTTTCAGCCTCCCAACATGTTTTCTTTATACCAGGATTCCTCTGGGCCAGCAAATTCAAACTTATTTACAATAGCTACACCCTCTCTTATTGTCTCGGCATTTATCCTGAGCTCTGTATTTCCCTTTACTCTGCTTGCTTGTTCTATCCATTCCAATCTGATGTGCATTTTCTCTGACAGAATGTAGGAGAGAAATAAGACAGGGGTGATTGTTGAGGTCCCAGCCTCCCATATAAAATCTTTGAGATATGTGTTGTGACCATATCATGAACAGCTCTGCAAGTGTAGTGCTTAAGAGACTTTATGTAATTTGCAGATGGTGTCTCCAGATGGCAGCCGTGTGTCACAGCCAAAGGCCCAAAACTAACGCTGAAAGCCACAAGCGTGTTGTTGCTTGAAGGATAGTTTCCTCACTGTCATCTCTCTTCATTCTTCAGCTGCCTTCAAGCAGAGGCTCTAGTCTTCCTTTCTTCCTTTAACTCCTGATGTGCTTTTTTCAAAGCCCCCCCCCCCTTTTCATCCCTTAGGATTTGGGAATCCAATGAGCTTATTTAGGGTTTTAGCTTTCCAGGCCCCAGGCTGAGAGATCTGTGTCATCCTGTGTATGCATCCTTGGGCAGGTGGCCCTCTGCCTGTTTATATGTATTCCTTTAAAAGCTGAACCCACTGAAGAGTCATTTATACTGTGTAGCCAATGAGGCAACTTTATGATGCTTTTATGATTCAATGGCCCTATTACCTTTTGTGCATAGCACTGAACTAGGGTTGGACTTTCACTCCTAAGCAGCCTTCTTGATATTGCATTCCCATCCTCTCTCTAGCTTCCATCTCTGTTATTTAAAAAAATTCTTTAAAATTTTCCTACCATGAAATTCACTCTTTTTGACATACAGTTCTATGAGTTTTGGCAAATGCATAGTCAGATAACCACTACTACAGTACCAAATAGGTCCATCGCCTCAAGAACTTGCTTGCCCAAGGCTGCTGCTTTAAGGCTATCCCCATCCTTTACCCTGATCTCTGGCAAGTACTGATCCGTCCCTATATTTTTGCCTTATCCAGAATGCCATGTAAATAGAATCCTACAATATGCAGCCTTTTGAGTCTGTATTGTTTCACTTCACAAACTGCATTGGAGATCGTCAGTACTGTTGCATGTATGAGTGCTTCCATCTTTTGTATGGATAAACCACAGTTTAACCACTCACCCACAGAAATACATTTCAGTTGTTTCCAGCTTTGGCAATTATAGAGATGCTTTAAACATTTGTATATGGGATTTTGCATGAACAAAGGTTTTCATTTCACTTGGGTAAATACCTAAAGTGGGATTGCAAAGTTGCATGGCAAGTGTATATTCACTTTTATAAGAAACTAGCAAAATATTTTCAAAAGTGGCTGTATCATTTTGCACATCCCCCAGCAATCCGTAAGAGCTCCAGTTTCTCTCCGCCCTCACCAACACTTAGTTTAGTATTGTGTTTTTCTTCTTTTCTTTTCTTTTTTTAAAAGGTTTTATTGGGGAATTGGGGAAGGGCAACAGTGTTGGGGAACTGAGGGAGGGGAACACTGTTGGGGAATTGGGGAAGGAGAACAGCCAAGTTGCTGTCCTACAGTCTTAGTTGCGGAGGGTGCAGCTAGCTCAGCTCCTAGTCCAGTCGCCATCCTGTCGGCAGCTTGCGGCTGCTCAGCTCCAGGTGCCGTATTCAATCTTAGTTGTGGGTGGGTGTAGCCCACCATCCCATGCGGGAGTCAAACCAGCAACCTTGTTGTTAGGAGCACTGCTCTCACCAGCTGAGCCATCCTGTCACCTGTTGGCAGCTCAGTGGCAGCTCAGCTCTGGCGCAGTTCACTGGCCCATGTGGGAATCGAACTGGCGACCCTGTTGGTCAGAGTTCGCGCTCTTAACCAACTGAGCCACTTGGCCGGCCCTGTGTTTTTCTTTAAGTTTAGACATCCTAATGGATGTATACTTGTATCCTGTGGTTTTAATTTGCATTCTCTAGTGACTACTGATGCTGAACTTCTTTGCAGGTGCTTATTTGCTGACTGTAATATCCTCTTCAGTGACATGTCTGTTCATGTATTTTGTCCATGTGCTAACTGGATTATTTGCATTTTTACTGTTGAGTTTTGATCGTTCTTTATATATTCTACATACTAGTTCTTTGTTGGATATGTGGTTTGCAAATATTTTCTCACATTTGGTAGTTTGTCTTTCATCTATTAACAGTGCTTTTGCCAGAACAAAAGTTTTTAATTTTGACAATTTATTTTTTTCTTTTATGAATTGTGCTTTTGGTGTCAAGTCTAAGACCTCTTAGCTCTAGATCCCAGAGATTTTCTCCTGTTTTTTTCCTAAAAGTTTTATAATTTTACTTTTTACATTTAAATTCATGATCCACTTTGAGTTAATTTTTGTATAAGGTGTGAGGCTTAGGTCGAGGTTCTTTTTTTGGCCAATGTAAGTTCAATTGCTCCAGCAGCATTTGCTTGAAATGCTATTTTTCCTCCATTAACTTGCTTTTTCACCTTTGTTAAAAATTGTTACCGCATATTTGTATGGGTCTATTTCTAGGCAATCTATTCTGTCTCATTGATCTATGTGTCCTTTTGCCAATACCACACAGTCTTGATTACTATAATTCTAGCTTACTTTTCTTCTATTGCTACAGTCCCCCGATGGTGTTACACATTAAATATCCAGGATGGAGAAGCCACATGCTACTCACCAAGGGGAGGAAATTATCACAGCAGCCTGGGCACTCGTTGTTTGATCTCCTGTGACCGGGGCTTTCGACTGATTGGACAAAGGTCGATGCAATGCTTGCCAAGCCGCCGTTGGTCTGGAACTGCCTACTGCAGGCGTAAGTGGTGTGTGCAGATGCTGACATGTATATGCAAGAGAAGCCAGTTAGCCAGCCATCTACTGAGAGTATAGGCCTGGAGGTGTTACTATGCTCTCTGTCAAATGCAAATTGAGAGTTTTTTCATAGGCACCCAACAGGGCCTTTCCCCATCCTAACATTCTAGCTCATTCTCTCTCCCTGAGGTTATTGCCCAAGTAATATGGGCATTGAAGTAGCAACCAGCCCTTCTGGCTCAGGGGCCCCAGTGCATGTAAGGCTTGGGCCTGGGGCCTGATGAGGACATAGGCCTTCCTCTGGAGCTCTCAAAGATGTGTGGACTCAGATTCTTTCCCACTTGTGGTAAACTGCTATACTTCCTGGCCTAAGGCCTTAGAAGGCCTTGGCAGTGAAGCCATGAGACATCCATTATTCTTCATTTTCTTTAGAAAGTCAAGAAGAATCCTTAGACTAGAATGTGGGGATGCTAATATACATCAGCTCCCATATCCCAATCTCTTCTTCAAGCTCTACAACCTACTCTTTTTTATCATCTGAGCTTTGTCTGTTCCATTGCTGAATGCCACGTGTGCAGGGCCCTGCAACGGTTGCTTCAGGAGCTTAGTCAATTCCTTAGTTACCCCAAGGCATCTTATAGACTAACAGGATAGAAACACAAGTGTGTGCATGTGAACGCAGTGTGACCAGACTCAGGGTGCTGAGCATTCAGTGAGAAATCGGGTTGGTCAGAGACGATGCTGTGGAGGAGAGAAAAAGCTTGATAGCCAGAAAGAAGGAAGCCACCACACCCCTGTAATTAATTTATTTTAGGACTTAGACCCCATTGTTTCCAAAATGAATTTGAATTGACCTTACAAAATTAAATAATATAAGTCTATAAATGAACATGAACATAAAACCAGTAAAAGAATGGAGACAAACATATTTCCAGGTGCCTAGAGTGAGTTAATCACTATATTTGAACACTGAATCTAGCTTTGCCCTTCCTCATAAGAGACAAAAGGGAAAACACTTTGGATGTATCATTTTCACTGTCAAATAATACTAAGAAAACAAATTCACCTGAAAAGACAAATCTTTTTTCTTGGACCTGATTCCAAGGAGGTCATTTTTGCATAAAGGATATTAAAAAACATAAAAGGCAATAATCTTTTAGTCTGGTTTGACCAAGAAGCAAAATGAACATAGCTTATAGAATTCATTTTGAAGCCCCAATAATGGAAATTTATTCAGGGTTAGAACTTAGACAACCTAAAGGAATATATGGCTCGCCCACTTCTTTCAAGTATCAGGTATCTCACACTAGACGTTGGCAAACACAGGCTCACAATCAACTCATGGTAGCAGTCTCTGCATCCGGCACATGTGCTGTCTAAAGCACATGGATTCCTCTTTAATCAAGTAACACCAAAGCTGGCCCTCCAAGCACTGGCCTGCCATGTACTCTATCCTGGATAGAAGGGCCAGCCTACTTCCACCGGTAAGTGAGCCTCCAGGGAAGAGTGCTTGTGGTAACACCAAAATTGCACTCAAAAAGAGCTTTGAATTTGCTCAAGGCCAACAAGAGATGAAAACTAAGAGCAGCTCAGGCCCTAAATGAGCCCAGAGGATTATATGTATTGTCTCTTTTAATCTGCACAACAGTCCTATGAAGTAGCCATATTTTAGTGGTAAAAACACTGAGATTCAGAGAAATGAGGTAGCTTGCTCAAGTCAGACAGCTAGTAAGAAGTGGAGCTGGGATCCAAAGTCAGGTGTGATTCTTAAGTCCATGTATTTGGACAAGTAATTTGCTTCTTTGAGAAACCCTCCCCCCAGCACTACTGCATCTTATAATATAAAAAATAAGAAGGCAATTAGAAAAAAAGAGACAATTAGGCAGAAAAATCTAAGGGCGGCTTTGGATAGGGTTTTCTGTATTTTCTGCTGTCTGATATGGTTCTCCCTGTGCTAGATGGCCAGGCATCACCTCCAGATAGTCCCACAGGCCACTGAGCTTGCCACTTGGTTTTCTCTTAGAGATGAGATGCCATGCATTGCCATTCATCACGAGCGGCACTTACACCTGCACAAATGGGGTGCTTCTTGACTCCCGCTGTGACTACAGTTGTTCCAGTGGCTACCACCTGGAAGGTGACCGCAGCAGAATCTGCATGGAAGACGGGCGATGGAGTGGAGGCGAGCCTGTTTGTGTAGGTAAATGTTGCTTGCTCTCAGTTGTCCTGCTGCAAAGAGTCACCCTGGGATGATGTTCACAAATGACGTGGACTTCTCACCACAGAAGGCATCCCTGCTATGCTCTGAGGGTGGCACTCTGGGCACACACTTGATGAAGTGATCACTTCCCCTGCAGCTGGGATTCCTTCCCCAGTTTCACTGAGCATCTTGAACAGAGGGTGCATCTTTTACCTACCCAGTGGTGTGGTATTGCTTCTACGGGTTCCCTCCAGGGAAGGCAGGGGGCCCACGAACCAGCACCTGATTTCTGATCTTGGCAGACATAGATCCCCCCAAGATCCGTTGTCCCCACTCACGTGAGAAGATGGCAGAGCCGGAGAAACTGACTGCTCGAGTATACTGGGACCCACCTTTGGTGAAAGATTCTGCTGATGGTACCATCACCAGGTGAGCAACGGATGCCCCTTAGGCCTCACAACAGCTTCTCCCAGGCTCTCAGGCTGCTGACACTGAACTGCATAAGCTGAGGCTGTAGCAATGATGTGCCCCAGACCCAGATCCTAGGGGTCTCTTTCTTCATTGGCTCTTTCACTCTGTCCCATGCAGGGTGACACTTCGGGGCCTTGAGCCTGGCTCTCACTTTCCTGAAGGAGAGCATGTGATTCGTTACACTGCCTATGACCGAGCCTACAACCGGGCCAGCTGCAAGTTCATTGTGAAAGTACAAGGTCAGAAAGGAGTCTTCCTTTTCCACGTTGCTCATTATTCCTGCTCTGCCTTGACCCTCTAGATGCCCACCACAACCCTCTCCTCTCTATGACTGAAACTGACACCTCATTTAGATTGGGAGAGGGAAAAAACAAGTTCACTAAACAGGGTCATTCAGGAAGCCTGCATGACATCTGCATACACGTGTTTCAGGGACTCTGACTCCCCAACAAGATTTTCTCATTCCCTTAAATCTAGATAAAATTCACCAAGATACTCTGTATCTATTTCTTTTCTTGGCCTTCTGATTATCAAATCTAATCAGTCTTCATTGTCTTTTGCTTCTGCTGAAATTGGTGGTGTTGCCTGCCTGATTCTTCTTCTTCGTTTTGTTTCACTTTTTTCATAATAAAAATAGTTCACACTCACTTTTTAACAGTTGGGAAGTAAATAAATATACAAAGGAAAAAAAATCTATTATCCCATCATCCAGAGGCAATTATTAATCTTTTGGTATTTTTTCAAGTTTTTTATCTACAAATACTTTAAAAATATACAGTTGAGATCATACTGTATATCTAATTTTAGATTACCCTTTTTACTTTTCATTATAACACAAGTAATTTTCCCATGTTCTTTAAAAATTTTTCAGACATGCTTTTAATGACAGTATAATAATCTACTTCTAAGAATATATTAAAATTTGCTTCTTAACACTTCTCCCACTGATGGATATTTAAGTCTCCTCCAGTTTATTTTTTGTAATTAAAAGTAATTTTGTAAGGCAGTCATCCTTATGCAGGGTGTCCACAAAGTCTGAAAACAAAAATAGTACTATTTATTTTGCAGATTAATAAAGTCTTTTGGTGAATAATATATATATATACACACACACACACACACACTCACCTGTACTTCCAGATATTATGAATGCCTTTGTCTACATTTCAAATTTAATCCCTTAAGGGACATATTAGCTCTATCCCTGGCCATTGGAAACGCAAAGAAGTCATTCATTCTGATCATCCTAGATCTCCTGATCTGGAAAACATAGCATGGGCACCCTCTTAGCCTTTTTTCCTCCCAAAGAGATACCATGGCCCCTAACTTGAACTCCTCCCTTACAGTAAGACGCTGCCCAACTCTGAAACCACCACAGCATGGCTACCTCACCTGTACCTCAGCGGGGGACAACTATGGTGCCACCTGTGAGTACCACTGTGATGGAGGTTACGAGCGCCAAGGGACTCCCTCCCGGGTCTGTCAGTCCAGCCGCCAGTGGTCAGGATCACCACCCATCTGTGCTCGTGAGTGAAACCAGGGAATGGAGAGAGTGGACATATTGATCAGGGCTACTTTGGAGGACCTCATCATGGGTATGGCACAGGGGCCCAATAGCAGTTTGTATGATGTGGGAATGAGGGAGGAGGTGCTGAGGTATGTTTAAGGGCCAATGATCTCCCTCAGAATACTCCAAGATAAAGGGCTTAAAATCTTCAAGTATTATTTCAGGGTTTTCCCCAAGGAAAGGGAGAAACAACCAAAAAGAGTTAACCTGAAAGACTAGAACTCTTCAAGATATTGTTCCCCACACTGGGATGAAGGAGAAGTCCGTACTCTCACTGGCCATCTGCTTCTGCCCTAGCTATGAAGATTAATGTCAATGTCAACTCGGCTGCTGGCCTTCTGGATCAGTTCTATGAGAAACAGCGCCTCCTCATCATCTCAGCTCCTGATCCCTCCAACCGATATTACAAAATGCAGATCTCTATGCTACAGGTGAGACACCCCCCCAAATAGGGCTTAGCTCCTTTACATATCCCCTAACCCCACCCCGTTTCTCCCTTACCTCTTCTAAAATCAAAGAGTTGTTCTTTCTGCAGCATAAACCCTACTTTCTCAAAATTTTTGTGGACAACCTTTGATCAGTCTTACTGCAGAGAAATTTAGCACATTTAAAAAACTGCTGTTTTTGCTAAGAAGGCAGCAAAGCCTCTGGACTTGCAGGGGGCTTGGTGAAGGATGGGAAGGGAGTGTGGCAGAGCACTCTAGAAAGACTTGTGAGACAGGTATAATGAAATGTAAACGTTAGGAATAAATTATGTTTATGTTCTCAAGGGATAATTGCACTAACAAGCATTTAGATGGTAAGTGTTATACAGGTACAGCTACATAAGTCTGTGCTTTACAGATGTCATTTAATTCTCACAACAACCCTTAAGAGGCAGGTACTATTACTATCCTCATTTGAAAGGTGGGGAAATTGAGGCATAGAGAAGTTAAAGTTTTGCCCAAGATCACTAGCTAATAAGTGGCTGAGCCAGGATTGAACCCAGACGTCTGACTCCAGGATCTGTGCTCTTAACCCTAATAGTAGCAGAAGAGAAAAAAAGTATTGTGTTATTTCAAAGTGAAATGAGGGAGTTGCATGATGATCCTTAACATATGAGATGCCTTGCCAAAGCCACTTGTGGGAGTAGAGGTGGATGGGATAGAATAGATATAATCATTGGGACTTATAAAAAGAAAAGACTAGGCTCTCGAAGAGAACTCAGAGTATGCTGACAGGACTAAGAGAACCAGCTCTGACAGACTGCAAAAGGCTTGGCTATCCAGGTAAAAGCAGCAGCAATTTAAGGGGTTTCTAAAGGTTGAATCTTGTAAGTTGCCAAGTTAATATTCAGAGGCCCATGATGGAAGCAGCTTTATCAAAAAGATGGCCCTGGGTATCTAGACCAAAAATGACCTAGCTCCCCGAGAGACCCAAAAAAGGGCAGACAAAGTTTGAACAGGAAGCAAGAAAAGAACAGGAATCAGCCAGCGAGGCTAGTAACTCTGAAGGTCAGGACTAGAGGCGTAGCCTGCAGCTCAGACAAGGGGTGGAGCATTCACTGAGGCTTTAAAACCTCACCCCAGGTGACTGGTTAAGAGGTGACCCTGAAGGACAAGGTAGGACAAAGAGCCAGGGTAGGGTTCCAGGGTGCCCTTCCTAGAGTGAGGAAGGCAACAAAGGGTGATGAAAAGAGCACCAACCTAGAAAAGGCCCTGGCCATGAAGCCCAGTGGTAAGCAGCACACGCTTGGGTAGGTTGCGGCAGCACTAGGTTTAAATCTTGGGTCAGCATTTCATTGTCATGCAAATTTGGGCAAGTTACTTTTTCCTCTACAGAGTAAAATTGATACCACCTATCTTGTTAGGGGTGCTGTGAGGATTAAATTAGATTATGTCTGCAAAGCATTAGGTATATGTGTTCAATAAACAATAGCCATTATTAGCGTATAACAATAGCTAACCATTAAGAGCCTATGTAGCTTTCAGTTGTAACATAAATAAATCCTACGTATGCAAAGTACAGCATGGTAACTATAGTTAATGGCACCGTATCGTATATTTGAAAGTTGCTAAGATAGTAGATCTTAATAGTTCTCATCACAAGAAAAATAAAATTAACTAGGCATGGTGATGGGTATTAACTAGACTTAGTGTAGTGATGATTTCACAATATATACAAATATCAAATCATTGTGTTGTACACCTGAAATTAATGTTATATGTCAATTAGTATCTCAATTTACAAAAAGTTTAAAACCTATGTAAAGCTAAGCAAGGAGAGATTATGTTCCTGCAATTCATCAATTACATTACTCTTTTCAACCTCACATGGTGTAACCAGTTTTGTACACTTCATTAGAATAAAGGAAACGCCATTAGGGCAAGTACTTCAGGAATGACAGAGGGAAGAGGTTGTATGATGGGTGTGTGATGGTTGGGGGAGAATCCTATCCTTTCCCACACAGCCTCAATGTGGTCCCAGGGAGGATCAGCTAAGGAGCATTAAGTTTGAATCTGAGAGAGCCTGTTCCATAAAACCTTCTCTCCCCTCCCAGCAATCTACCTGTGGACTAGAGCTGCGGCATGTGACCATTATTGAGCTGGTGGGGCAGCCACCTCAGGAGGTGGGGCGCATCCGGGAGCAACAACTGTCAGCCAACATCATCGAGGAGCTCAGGTCCAGGCTGGGGGACCACAGGAAAGGGGTGGGCAGAAACCCTAGGCAGGACACTGGCAACAGGAGGGTTGTGGGAGAATCAGTGACAGTACTCTTGGGGCATTCCCTTGTGTTTGAATTCTTTAGATGCATTAGGTAAGACCAGAGAGTGGCAAGACATCAGAATCAAATTGGGTGACTTCAAATACAGATGGCCAGGCCCCACCCCAAAACACCTTGGGACTGTGCATCTCAGGTGACACTGAAGCACAGCCAGAGCTGACACACAGACCCACAAGACTCAGATAAGCCTCTGATCCTGTTGTCTCATGGCCTTATCCCTCCATCTTGTCTCAAAGAAGCAAAAGGCATGTTCAGGCACTGAAATCTGAATCGCACCCATCTGCCCCTGGGGGAAGAGTGAACTATAGGTGACAGGTGGTAGAACTTGATTTTTTCATTATCTGTCCATTATCACCCTTCCAGTGCCTCCAGACATACTCAGAACCAATAAAGCCATCACAGCTCTGTGTTCTAGAAACAATGTATTCCTCTAGGGCCCAGTCTCAGTAGGGACTGAAAAGATTCAGTACCAGGTAGGAGAGAGACCCGGAAACACTCGGAGGGAGGAAGGAGACTGCAGATGAAGAGGTGACCAGGTAGGCGGCTGGGTGGTGCAGTTGGTTAGCGCACAAGCTCTAAGCAACAGGTTAGCCAGTTCGATTCCCATATAGGCCAGTGAGCTGCGCCCGAGCTGAGCTGCCAATGGGCGGCCGGATGGCTCAGTTGGTTAGAGCGTGTGCTCTTCACAAGGTTGCCATTTTGATTCCCACATGGGATGGTGGGCTGTGTCCCCCCTCCCCCCACAACTAGATTAAAAGCAGCAACTGGATTTGGAGCTCAGCTGCACCCTCCACAACTAAGACTGAAGGACAACAACTTGACTTGGAGCTAATGGGTCCTGGAAAAACGCAATGTTCCCTTCCCCCATTCCCCAACACTGTTCCCATCCCCAATTCCCCAATACAAATCTTAAAAAAAAAAAGACTTGACCAGGTGATAGTGATCACCTTCAACTTCAGGGCTGCCCTGGATGGTTGTGCAGGTTATGACCCGCCCATCTCTAGAGAACACTAGTCACATCATAGTGCAGGTGACTGGTGCTCCCTGGAGTTATTCCATGCAGCCCACATAGCTATGTATGGTAGCCCTGCTTACAGGGTCCTATGAAGGAAGCACAGCCTGGTAATAATGAAGCTGCTCCATCTGGGGTGAGAAAGGGACAGCTTAGCAGAGCCAGACACATACAGGTAGCAAGACTAGGGTCTGAGCAGAGAAAAACAAAGGGGCTTGAGATAGGTAGTGGAGGGGATGAGGATAAGGGATTGGGTGGGGAAGTAATTCGTCTATCAGTGGAGCTGTGAAAGGTCAGAGGGTAGTAGAACCTGGTGGATGGAGCCCAAACAAGGTCTCACACCTCCCTTGGTCCCTCTCTCTAGGCAATTTCAGCACATCACTCGCTCCTACTTCAACATGGTGTTGATTGACAAGCAGGGAATCGACAGGGAACGCTACATGGAACCTGTCACGCCCGAGGAAATCTTCACATTCATTGATGACTACCTACTGAGCAACCAAGAGCTGACCCAGCGCCGGGAGCAAAGGGACGTATGCGAGTGAACTTGAGCCAGGGCATGGTTGAGGTCAAGGGGAAAGTTCCCCTAGTTGGCTGAAACTGGGACCTAATCAAAGGAGGAAGTGGTTTCCCACGGTTCGAGGGATAGGACTCTGAGATGGGTGAGGTTCTCCAATCCTGGGACATTTTCAGGCACCATTTTAGGGCTCTGTAATAGTTTCCCTAAGCATGTCTCTGCTTTAGGTAGCACTGGAGGAGCATCAGAAGCTAGATAGGGACTGAGGACAGGTCCTGGGCAGTGGGTTGGGGCAGCAGAAGGTCTTCCTTCCCTAACCTGGGCCTCTGCTCAGCTCTCCAAAGTCTTCCAGATAAGTAAATCCTAAATTCATTCACTAACTGGCTGTTTTAAATGGTTCCTCTACCGTGAGGTGACAGCAGAGGGCAGCACCTTCACAACTGACAATAAGGACATTTCAGCAAATGTACCTGGATTTTTCTCATAGGTTAACTATCATTGGAGGTGTCATGATCCTAATACACATGTACCTCTTTTAAAACCAAGAACTGAGGGGACCCATTATAGGTCTGAAGCCTACTGAGGCCAATGGCAGGCATGGACTTTCCTTAAGGAGATCTAGTACTTCCCTTCTGGGAAGTCCTCTTTGCCTCATCTGTATTAAGGTACACTGGCCTTGGGGTGGCAGAGAAGTCATCTATCATTTGATGTTTATCATGTGGAAACCCACTGTTAAAAAAAAGAAACAGGCCAAAATGGAGTCACTTTTGCTAAGTCATGTTACCAAACCAAAACTTAGTAACTAAACTAATTGCAGTTTCAGCCTCTCCCAGGAGTGGAATTTTAAAGCAATCAGTCTGAAATTTCCTGAGCAATACTAGTAAGGTAATCTGCATGATCAAACCCCTGCCATGCCCTTCCTTCTAAAAGCAATCCTTTCTTTTGTAATAACTCCCCTGCCACATCCTTTTGCCTATAAAAACTTTTCATTTTGTACAATTCATGAATTGCTTAATAAAGCCAACAAGATCTTCAAAATGAAAACACAAGAAAACATTCCTGGACTTGTCATTTCCCCTGTTAGGACACTGGGCTACAAATGTGATGGTAACCATTGCTTCATCTAAAAATTAGAAATATGCTGCAGTGGGAGAGCGCTTGGGAAGGAAAATCAGGCCAGAGCACAATGCTTTTTCCTGGCCCCTCGAGCTGGCTCATGGGCAACACTCTCCTCTTACTGAGGCTCCAGTTCCATAGCAAAAGGTAGCCCATGCTGTCCCTTCCACAGGGGAGCTCCCTGCTCGTGATTTAGAAAACCTTGAAAGCACCACTGCAAGCCTCTGTAAAACTAAATAGTGGAGAAGGAAAAAAGACAGATTCAGCCTCAAGTATTAAGTTCATCAGATAATCACTTCTAAGAGATGAGCACAGAGCAGGTGGAAGCTACAGCAGAGCTAAGTGAAGCCTTAAGGGCCAGGCCTGAAAGTCAATTTGAGGCTGGGCTATTGGGAAGTGGGGCCACACTCAGATCCCTGCTCTGGCTTCAGCCGCACTCAGTGGTGCGTCAGTATTTGAAAGAAAAGCATTCTTCCCCGTGCTGCTGAGCAACTTCTGTTCTACACTCATGAAACCCAGTGTCGTGGTTAAGACCCGGCAGCCTTTCTCCTTCTGCTCTACCCAGGGGGTCATCAGCGGAAAATCAGAGAGAAGGAAGCAGGCTGAGTGGAGAGGCACGCCTAATAATGCTCAAGCCCTCACTACATGCCAGGTGCTGTTCTAAACATTCTATCCAATTCACTTTCCACGCCAGAGCAATGGGACATGAAGCATGAGCTCAGAACATACAGGAATAGTAGTGAGTCAGAGAGAAGCTGCTTCCACAGGGGGCCGGGGCAGGGGTAGTGGAAATCTCATTTTTAAAATGCAACATCAAAAGTTAGGCAGTTGCCGAGTGGAGTGGGACATGGAGGAACTTATCAAACTTAGAGCAAAAAGGTCCCTTTCTCTCTCTTCCTTCCAGGGAAATAGAAGAGTCGTGAAAGGCAGGAGGCAAGTTATGGGCAGAAGATAAAATACAATGAGTTAATATGGGAAGTCTCCGGTCAGAGAGAGCCTGTGGTTCCAAAGGCAAAGATTACACGTCAGGCAAGATGAATGCCCTTCCTTGTCTTTATCACTAACACTGCCAAGTGGCAAGCCAGGGCATGTGAGCAGGTCAAAGGCCCAATGGTAACATGCGGAGGCCCACTGCCTCCTGAACAGAGTTCCCACCTGGGCCTGACTCACATATAAATGCTCCTCTAGCTTAAAAAATATTGAAAAGCTTTGGTTTTGTTTCATTTTAATAAGTAGTTAAGGCAAGTCAATCTTACTTTCTTTAGGTAAAGTTTTACTGTAACCTTCTTTGGATAATGATTGAAGAAATATTAACTCCTAAAGTAGGGGAAGAAAACAGCAGCAGACTCGGGCCCACTGCCAGACCCAAAGGGGATAGCCCAATCCCAACCCTGTACATACCTCTGTTTCTGTTTTTCTCTGTGTCCCGCTCTGCCCACTCCCCAAGATATTCAGTGGGGGGTGGGATGGGGGGTACAAAGCTAAAGGAGGAGTTCCATTGGTACTCGAGAGAGGGAAAGAAAAGTGGTGCCACTTTTAAGATGGCTTCTCAGTTCTTTCCCTAGATACCAAACACAAAGGATCAGAGCTCAGTGGAGGTATCAGGCAGCAATGTGTGGAAATGGAAATTGTCTTTGAATCAGCACAGGATGGGTAGGGAAGGACATTTGTCACTTTGGTTCTTAACTTTCAAGCCACGTGAAAAGCAACAACAGTAAATCAGACATCAGAGACAAACGCATCTATAGAACTAACAAATGCAAACACTTGACAAGTGAAAACACTTTATTGAAGAACACACAGATTTCAGGGGGTGGAGAACAAAGGATCAAGTTACAGCCCAGGATCCCAAGTTATGCCTTCCATTACAATATCCATCCACACCAAATAAACCTTTTAAAAACACTCTTAAAAAAACAACAACACTCTTCCATTCAATTCACACATACAATAGAAACCATCCAGCCGCCCTCAATCCAGTGGCCTCCTAGGAGAGTCAGCTAGGAGCCAAACAGACTGAAAGGGATTTCTCCCACAGAGACTCCTTTCACAAACGACTTTGTGTAGATAGACTTGGAAGAATAAAAGGGTCAGTTTGGTACAGTGAGTTTCAGAAAATGAACCTTAGATCACCAGACCCTTCTTAGAAAGGTCTCAACACACCACACCCATGTTATATCTAGGTCAAGTTTAGGAAACAATAGAAAAAATAAGAACTGAACTCACTTCAAGAAGGAAGTCAAAGTAACTGGGAGATTCTCCGAACACACTCTCTTACAGCACTAACAGTACCCAACCTGGAGAAACACTGGCCCAGTTTAGACAGTACTTGGCTAGTCTGGCTGGCATCATGGTATGCAGACCATAGTCTATGTGGTAACATAGCGCGGACACAAACGCTAAGAAAGATGTGGTACCTGATGAGAGTGAAGATGTCTTGCCTTTCATTAGAGAAATGAGGAGCTCTCCAACAACTACTGTATCAGTTTAAATGCAAAGAATTCAAAACGGACTGGAAGACACTTCACCCTCAGTCACTCTGGTCCTGTGGGATCACCAAGAAGCACTTGCTGGGCTTGTCCATGACTCCATCGAAAGGCCATGATTTAATTAAAGTGCTTTGCTAAAGCAGCTCCATTATAAGGTCTATTGAAGATGTGTAGAACCAGAAGAAACTGAAGCATTGTCTTAACATTTCAGAGAAAACCACTACACCCAAGCAAGATGGAAGCTGCTTAAAAACAAAAGAAGTTAAAAGCAAAGTTCTAGAAATGTATCAAGGCAGAAAATGAGCTAAAAGCATACATCAGAGAAGAAGGGGAGGGCCTACTCACCTCTCTCTCCTCTTCTCCTCTTTAGTAACCCAACCCTGCTTCCCAGAGCCTTTGGCTCAGACCAAGAACACCTTGAAACACAGATTGGTACTAATGCCAGAGGTTGCCAGGGCTTCCGGGGGGGAGTAGGAACAACGATAGTACGATGGGAGATAAAACATTGTTTAAAAAGATTTTATAAGTTAATTAAACCTCAGAAAGATATAAGAAACAATGGACTCTGAAAGTATACTTAGATTATGCACAAATAAAAACATTTTAAAGAGACCCTAATTCTTGCGCCCACTTTCGAAAGGGGAACAAGTCTGCACACACTCTAGCACAATGAGATTTGTAAAAAGACATGCTTGTACACACACATACATAACACACACACATTAAATTAGAAATCTTTGCTCTTGGTTTCTTCGCTTCCTCTGATTCTCCCTGGCCAGGGCTCGGCCCACAGAGAAGGGCAGGCACTCATAAGCCCAGCTTCTGCTTGGCCATCGAGGAACGGAGCTGGAGACTCCCTTCCGCCCAAGAGCCCGGGTACTGACGCATCTTCTGCCACAGGCTCACTTCTTCCCCGGTCGAGTCCATCCAGTCCACCACTTCCCCATTACTGATTCCTGAGGAGAAACACCAGAGCAGGCTGAACAAGGGCCCCAGTCCTCAGTCCACCAGGAAAGATGGGTTATACAGCAATGGTAGCAGCCCCCCAAAAAGACAGTGTGCTATGAACATGGGCTGATGGGGACAGCAGTCTGGAAACTGTTCCTTAATGATCCTGCACTATTTCTGTGCTCCTGAGACTCTATAAAGAGGCTTCAGGGTGATGAAATGGGACCCCAAACAGCACACAGTAGCTAGAGGCCTCTTATTCTGAGGTTGGTGTGGAGCTCTGGTGTCTGACACTTCATGCCAGAGCTACTGCCCTTCCGTTATGGTCAACTTGACTTAATTAAAAAAACAAACAAACACAAAACTGAAGAAGCTGAACACTGTTTTCTCCAGCTTCAGACTCCGGGCCTTAAGTTAGGATTGTATGTGGCCTCATTCCTATTCTCTTGTATATTTATTCATTCAAGGAACATTTATTAAGTGCCTACTGTGTGCCAGTACTCTCCCAGGCTCTGGGAATACAGCTGTAAACAAAACAGAAAACGTCCTGTGGCAGCTGGTCAGCTCAGTTGGTTACAGCTCAGTGCTCATAACGCCAAGGTTGCCGGTTCGATTTCCACATGGGCCACTGAGTAGTGCCCTCCACAACTAGATTGAAACAACTACTTGACTTGGAGCTGATGGGTCCTGGAAAAACACACTGTTCCCCAATTAAAAAAAAAACTTTAAAAAAAAACAACAGAAAACGTCCTGCCCACAGGCAGCTTCCATTTGAACAAGGAAGACAGAAAATATACAAGTAAATCAACAAGAGTAATTCAAATAATGGGGTAAATATCATGAAGTTAACCAACGAGGTGATTTGGAGTGCCTAGATCCTTTAGATGGAGTGGTCTGAGGGCCTCTCTGAGGAGACATTTGAGTCAAGATCTGAAGGATGGGAAGAGCCAGCCTTTCCAGATGGGGGAAAACTAATTGCCGAGGTTAAGAAGTGGGAATAAGCTTGCTATATTTGGAGAGGAGAAAGAAAATCACTGTGGTTTGAGCACAGTGAGCAAGCAGATAAGTGATACACGGTGGATCATAAAGGAACAGAGAAGGTCTAAATCATATGGGGCCTGTAGGCACGCTGAGAACTTTGGATTGTTTTCTAAGTACAACAGGAAGCCACTGAAGGGTTTTAAGCAGGCGACTGACATGAACTGGCTTACACTGGTAAAACCATCATCCTAGATGCTTTGTGTTAAATGCCTTGTGGGAGTTATTAATATACAAGTATTATTTAAGGCCACAGGAATGCAGAGACTAGAGAGCGGAAAGAAAAGGAAATCTTGAAAAGCACCAACACTCAGAGTTTGGGTATAGAATGAGAAACCCATCAAGAAAACTGAGAAGGTGAGCAGTGAGTTAAAAGGGAATCAAGAGTGTAGTGTCACCATTTGCAATGATATGGATGGGCCTAGAGACTATTATGTTAAGTGAAATAAGTCAGTCAGAGAAAGACAGGTACCATATGATCTCACTTATATGTGGAATCTAAAAAACTGAATGAACAAGCAAAGTAAACAGAAATAGTCTCAGAGACACAGAGGAAAAACTGAGGGTTGCTAGATGGGAGGGGGTGGGGATGAGGGAGAAGGTGAGGGATTAGAAACCACAAATTGGTAACCACAATATTGCCACGGGGATATGAAAGACAGCTCGGAGAATATAATTAATAATGCTGTAAATATTTTGTAGGGTGTCGGATGGACACGTCTTGTTAGGGAGACCACTTCGTGGATGGTGTAGAGGCTTGATCACTGCACTGTACACCTGAAGCTGAAGTTGAATAACATTGTATGTCAACTATAATTTTATGTGTGTATATATGTATGCATATGTGTATATACATATACATATATAGTCATGAATGTAGAGTCTAGTGTGGGGAGTGGAGTCAATGGAATTGTAACAGACATGTATGATATCGTGGGGGGGTGGATTGGGGCAGGGGGTTGTCACTTTGTGAGGGGTGAAAAGTATAACTATTGCATTGTTTTGTACACCTGAAACTAATAAAAAAATTTTAAAAAAAGGAATTATCCAAGTAAAGAGGAAAGCATCCCATAAAAGGTTAAATATTTAAGATATAGGTGAAGATGGCTAAAATAAAGATAACTTAATTTCTAAAGAAAAAGAGTGTAGTGTCAATAAAAGCTAAGTATTTCAAGAAAAAGGAAGTGATCAGTTACGTTAAATAGCATTGAAAATTCTTGTAAGATGTAAACAAAAATTTGGCATGAGCAATTGCTCAGGGAGTGGTGGGACAGAAGCCAGATCACAGTGGATTGAGAACTACAGGAGAGGCGAGGAAGTGGAGACCATTCTTTCTAAGAAATTCGAAGGGAGATGTGGCATCAAGGGAAGGTTTATTTCTGTTTCTTAAGATCTGGAATACCAGAGCATATGTGTTTTCACCTCCAGTAGGGAGGCAGAGAGAGACAGGAGATGCCAGAAGTGAGATCATTGAGAAGGTGAGGATACTTGGAAAGAGATTGGCCTTTGTTAGAAAGGGCCCTTCTTTCTTTGTAACAGGATGGAAGATGGAAATTGTAGGTACAGATAAGGTAAGTTTTCAGATTGTTTTGGTGGAAAGATGATGGTTTTCCTGGCAGCCAGGGTCACATTTATGTGTACACATAACAGTGCATGCGTTCAGTCTTCCACTAGGCCTGTACATAGTAGGTACTCAGGAAATATTGATGGAATGCTAACTCAAAGGAAAGAAGACAACTCCTGTCATAGAGAAGTTCTGTAGAGAAGGGGGTGGGTATATTAGGAGTCAAATACAAGAGGCCTTTAAGAGAGCGAGGAAGGGGGAGAGGCTCTCACCAGTGCCAACCCCCAGCCTGACCCCTCCCAGGAAGTCATTGCTGGCCAGGGGCTCCCGGTCCCACACAGTCAGTTCCAGGCACATGTGTTGTAGATCTTCCAGCCTCACTCCATTGTAGACAAATGTATGGTTGTAGTGGGGATTCAGGGTCTTCTTCATCACAGGAGTTTTACGCTTACTGGCCTTGTTCCTCATGGGAAGGAGGTATCTGGCAGAGGGCAGGGAGTAATCAACAACGCACTCAAAGCTGGCACTGTCTATCTAAATTCCCTTTTCCCCTGCCACAGGCCTAGCCCAGGGAGGTGAGACAATACTCAGATCCTAGTACACACACTCCTGCCCTTGAATCTGCTGAAGCAGAGTTCCTGCTTCCGCTACTAGATCCTTCACCTCATACAATTAATTCAACCTGGAGAGCAAATTAACATAATGTGAGCTGTTATTTATTCTCCACCAAAAATGGGTTTTAAATATTTGGTTCCATTTCTATTGGGCAAGGTCCTCTTTACATAAAACCAAAGGTAGTAACACTAGACATAGCTAAACATGATTTGCTAGAGAAGTTAAGTCAGTGCGATGATCTACACTTTGGGGAAAGCTGGCATTGCTTAAATATTGTGGGGAACAGAGCTGTGAGTTTCCACATCTTGACAGGCAAAGGATAGAGGTTTTTATTCAAGATCAATCAAGAGCATAAGTCTATAACAAAGGAAAAGTCAGACCTATCTGTCCACCACTCTCCTCTTTGGCAATGAGCACTGCAGTCCAGTCCAAACTGAGCTCAGACCAGTGCAAACAAGGTGGTGGAGGTTCTGGCATTATCTAATTTCAGGAACAAAGTTGGTCGCTGGAAGTGGTAGGACACGCAAGGATAATATCCACAGAGAAAGGTTAAATTGGGTTTCCTCTCTTAGCTCTCTTGTCCTGAAACTGGTTAGTTTGGTGCTGCTGATCCAGGGACTCACCCCTTGACAAAGCTGTCTGAGGTCCCTCCTGATTTGGCAGCCGTCAGGTTCTTGGCTTCTTTGATCCACACCTGGAGCTCTCCCCCTTCCCCACCTTTACCTGTAAGGGATGTCAGCCAGAGCAAGTGAGCCCCTACACCTCCAGATTTCTCTCAAGCTTTATCTACACAGCACTTCCTTTCCTTGCTCCTGAAGGCAGCAAGCGCCATGACAACTGGACCACAGCTGGCTTGGATTCTCAGTACCTAGCACAGTGCCTGACAGTAAGCAATAGGTGCTAAATTAATAACAACCACAGCAATACATGCTTACTGAAAACTAGCTATGTGCCCGATTCTACGTTAAGCATTTCATTCTCCAAACATATGAGAGCTATACTATTATTGTCCTCAGTTTATAGATGAGAAAATTGAGGCTTAGAGAAATAAAGGTTCTAATATTTGTTGAATGAACAAGAAAAAGAGAAGGACTCCTCCACTTGTGTTCTGGATCTCATCCTCACTTCACAGGACTCATCGGAGATAATCAATTTCAACCCCCACCTCTCATTTTTAATATCTGTTCTCCACTGGTCCCATCCTCTCAGTCTAAATATATGCTAATCCCATCCCTCCTTTAGAAAACATCTTTTAGAAAGAAAATCTCCTGTCAACCTTATCTCATTTCCAAGCTATTTTCCATGGCTCTCCTTTCTTTCACCATCTATTATCCTCAAAAAAATAAGAGTTCACACTCAACACCTCTACTTCTTTGCCTCATTCACTCAGCCTAGTTTCTAGTAAAATTTGGTTTCTGCTTCATCGAATCCACTGAAAATGTAATCTACCACCCATGAGCCATGTCCCTCAGTGGGCCTGACCTTCCAGTAGTATGTCAATACTGTTGACAACCCCCGCTCCCTTCTTCAAGCTCTCTCCTGATAACACTCTAGCTCCCTGGCTTTTCTTCCTCTTTTCATTTTTTATAACGTTGCTATGGTTCTATCCTTGCCTCTCTTCTCTAGTCATTCTGCACAACCTCCTTAGGGATGTCATTGATCCCCCACATCCTATACTTAGACCTTGCTACATGAATCTTTGTAAGAACCTTGGCTTCCCATTGCCAATGGATCAAGTTCAACTCCTTACCATTACATTCAAGGCCCTTTTCAGTCAGGCTCCAGCCTCATGAACAATTCCAATCCCACTCCCACATCTGCATACCATAACTCCAGCCCCCCCAAAATAAGGAGTTCACTCCCTCACACTCACATACACCCCACATTTATCGTGCCTTTTAAAAACCTTTGCTCATTCTATCACATCTTCTGGAAATGCTTTTCTTACACCATCCTCTTTCTTTTTTGCCTGGTCAAGTGTGAAGTCCAGTTTCATCATTACTTCCTCTTTAATGCGCTCCCAAATGTAACCAGGAAGAATTCATCACTCCTGTATCTGTGTTCTTTCAGCACATGACTGTCTTTCTTGCTAAACGAAGCTCCTCAAGCAAGGATAGATGTCATCTCTTATTCATCTACATATCCAGAGTCAATACCACAGTGCCTCTTCCTCAGCCTTCAACTTCCTGTCCCTTACACTGCCATCCTGTCCAAACCACGTTTTCTCATCCCCAAAGTTTCTTCTCTGTTCTGCCCTCTTAGAAGCTTGCCACAGCTGAACCAAGACCAAGTCATGTTTAATGGCCTAAAATAATGGAATGACAACCCTATAGCATTCCCTTCTGGTTGAAAAAATGCAGAAACGGCTTACTTAGTAAGCAAAGGATACTTCCCTAAAAGATGATTCCAGGCTCATCTCAATCTGGTCTCTCCAACAGTGCTACCCACTAGCCAGCACCACCTCACACAGATCCTGTGCAGAATATAAGGGCTAAATCCAGGGCCCCGCAGAAAACTCACTCTTTTTCCGGTCACCTCCAACAGGGAGTTTGGAGGCTGGGATGTATTTCAATGAAACCACCAACTCGCCTTTGTGTGATAGCAAGCCAGTCGGGGACTCAGCACTGATCTGAAACACAGGGAAACCCAACAGGTCAAGCTGGGCTTCTCAGGAGTTGTGGGGACCTCTTGCTGAGGAGATTCTAAAATTACCCTCAACAACAGCTTCACAACATGAGGATCCTTCTCCTTATGAATACAATCCAGGGTGCTTAGGCCATGGCCGCCACAGGTTTCTAAGGCAGTTTCTTCAGAAGGAGATGCAGAAGATCTAACAAAAAGCCTTCTGCAATGCCCACTGTTTTGCTACTTGGTTACTAGATTCCAAATACCCTCATAGGTCTTCCAGCAAGGTTGCCACACAAACTCACAGGGGATTGACACCATGATAAAGGATCTTGCTACCAGCATTGTAAGTAATTGCCAAAAAGTGGTAACAATCCACATGTCAATCAATATAGGAAAGGTTAAGTGAGTGATTTTAATGCCTTCATATGGCATATGGTATGCAGTCATCAAAGAATGCAGTGACTCTGTATAGGCTGACATGGAAAGATAGCCAAGATGTACTGTTAAGTCACCAAAGCAAGACACAGAAAGAGTATCCCACTTATGAGGTATGACAATTAAGCTCACAAACTTGTTGCAAGAATGTTGCTAACTGTTTTGATATCAGAGGGAATTATTTATTATGAATTTGTACCAACTGGACAAACAGTTAATCAAATTTCCTATTTGGAAGTGCTAAAAAGGCTGCGTGAAAAAGTCAGATGAAAACTACCTGAAATTTTTGCCAACAATTCATGGCTCTTGCATCACAACAATGTACCAGCTCACACGGCACTGTCTGTGAGGGAGTTTTTAGCCAGTAAACAAATAACTGTATTGGAATACCCTCCATACTCACCTGATCTGGCCCCCAATGACTTCTTTCTTTACCTGAAGATCAAGGAAATATTGAAAGGAAGACATTTTGATGACATTCAGGACATTAAGGGTAATACGATGATAGCTCTGATGGCCATTCCAGAAAAAGAATTCCAAAATTGCTTTGAAGGGTGGACTAGACGTGGGCATCAATGCATAGCTTCCCAAGGGGAATACTTCAAAGGTAACCATAGTGATATTCAGCAATGAGGTATGTAAAACTTTTTCTAGGATGAGTTTGCGAACTTAAGTGTCCAACCTCATATATTAAAATATATTCATATTTGTATATGTGACTATAAATGTATGTAAATGATTATTATCATTATCACTTAAATAGTACTTAATTTGTGCCAGGCACTGTTATAAGTACTTTAAGCATATCATTTTGTTTAATACTCAAGATAGTTCATATGAGGTAGATACTATTATCCCCATTTAACAGACTATGGAACAGACGAACAGAGAGGTTAAGTTGCCCAAGGTAACACAGTTAGTAATTGGCAGAGGCAGGATTCAAATTCAGACAGACCGGTTCCAGAGTCCATGCGTTTTACCACTATACTATACCGCATAGAAAAATCCATAAGGATAGAGACTAACTGAACACTTGCTTCTTCTAAGGAGGGGAATAGAATGGGGAAAAGAAAGGGGGCTTTCATGTTTTACTCTGTATATGTCTATAGTGTCTTTTTAATAAGAATGGCATGTACACTTGTATGATCTTCAAAGATAAAAAAGTGTTTTTTAAAAGAGAGCTTGCAAAGATTTGAGGGCTAGGTGGAACTCTGTTACAAGAATTTAAATATGCCACAATTCTTTACATTTATATATGTTCCTTTTGATTAATGATTATCTCTACCACTAGAATCTAAATGCCAGGAGGATATGAATCAAGCCTATTTTTGTTCATCTTAGTATGCCTAACAGCAAAATAGATGGCACACTGTAGGTGTGCCACAAATATTTACTGAATGAATGCAAGAGTGAATGAATGAACGTCTGGGATGAGCAGTAAGTGGCCTATCATCTTCGGCTGTGGGTGGCAGAACTGCATCGCTCTATTGGCTCTCTTGGCATGGCTCTGTTCTTTATGCGTTGTATCCAGAGTACGAGCTGGTATAGACTAGAGGTGCCCTATCACCTGCCTGTGTTCACTGGGGCTCCTCTAAACTAGGTGCTCACCACTGAGCATATGAATACCAGGATGGCATAATCCCCACCACCTTGAAAAAATGTACCACATACCCAGAATGTACAAAGTTTAGTGTATGGGACAGATAGAAAAGAACAGGGAGGTAATGGTGATTACCAGAGCGGATGGGGGTAGGGGGAGGACGAAGAGGGTAAAGGGGGTCAAATACAAGGTGACAGAAGGAGACTAGACTTCAGGTGGTGAGCACACAATAGAGTACAGAGATGTTGTATTTTAAAGTTGTATACTTGAAATTTATATAATGTTATGAACCAATATTACCCCAATAAATTCAATTTAAAAAAAAAGGAATAGGGAGGTAGATGCCAGGAGGATAAATCTGACTGGGAGGCAAATGGACTACTGGGCAAAAAAAGAAAAATCTGAGACAATAAATGTAGAATGTTTAAAATTCTACATTTATTTAAAATAGATACATAATACTGAAGTGGTCTTTATGTTATCAAATGTCTACAAAATTTTAATTTCTAGATTCTGAACTTCAGTGGACTCTTTAAGAATTAGAGGTTAGCCTTAGGTGAAAATTGGTGTATTTGTTTCAGTAGCATAATTTCATTCTGGCTCAAAATATTTGCAAAGAGCAAATACCTCTATTTTGATGCAGCTTTTTCATTTGATGTAAGACATTTTTATTGGCATTAGTTCATGATGATTTATAGTAACATTTCCAGTATCAACTCTAGGCCCCTGAGAAAATGACCTGTGTGCCAAATGCTTAAGAAATTCTAAATTTCTAATAATATGCTACAGTTTTTAATAATTGCTTTCTTGTTTTTATTAGTATTTAAAGGGACAGATTTAATGTTTTTACTATTTTTTGGAGAGCAGTAGCTATCAAAATACTGGATGTACATTTCCTTTGACTCAGCAATTCAAGCACCAGAAATTCCTCCTATAGTTACATTTTCAAAAGAAGGTCAACATCTATTATAGCATAGGTTTAACAGCAAAAGAAGCAAACAATTTAAATTTAAATGCCCATCAGTGGGGAAATGGTAAATAAATTATAATACAGGTACATAAAAGAATACTATACAGCAACTAAAATGAGATCTGTAAAGGGTGGCATAGAAAAATGTCCATGATAAATGATAAATTGTTAAATTTTAAAAAACTATATATATATAGATAGATAGATAGAGAGAGAGAGAGAGAGAGAGAGAGAGAGAGAGAGAGAGAGAGAGATATGGTTGTTGGAAAAGTCACGACGCATTTTTGCAACGAAAAACAGAAAAAAATACGTCGTGACTTTTCCGACAACCACATATATATATATATATATATATATATAATGATAATTTTGTATAAAAAGAAAAAATATAAATCCATATGTGTACATCTGTGCTGTTAAATAGGAAATTTCTACAAAGATATCCAAGTAGTTGATAACAGTGGTTATTTCTAGGGAATAGAACTTACTTTTCTCCTTGTACACATCTATGTTGTTTTAATTTTGAACCATGTATATATAAATCCTTTTATTCTTAATTTCCTTAATAAGCAACATATATATATATATATATGGTGCCAAAAACATATACACATTTTAAGAAAGGGAAACTGTATTAAAATTGTAATACTCAATACATACCGATAACGAAAGATGAATACAAGTCACGTTTGACTTCTGCAATTACAAGAGATGCTCAAAGTGGTTACCATCAGTATCCAGACAGTTCTGATCACTGCCAACTACTGCTTGAGCAACGTTGACCAAAGTGTCTACTTGTGTACATTTTTTGGCACCCCCTGGTATGTATGTGTGTATACACACACACACACACACACATGCACACACACGTACGCACACGGTAAAAAGTTTAAACATTATAAAAGGACATACAGAGAAAATTAAACTGCCCTCCCACTTCAGTTTCTCTTCCTAGAGGCAGCCATTACTACTAGTTTCTTGTCTATCTTTTCAAAGATATTCTATGCACCATATTATTTTTAGCATTTAAAAATGCTAGTATAAATACGTTTTATGTTAATATGCAATGTTATCTCTTCAATTTAAATAAATTTTTAAAAATTAAAAATAAAAATGCTAGTGTAAAAGATTTTTTACAGAAGAACCTTGCCATTGAACAATTCTGATCATCAAGAAGTCTGTTTTAGCAACTTCATCTTAACCAGAACGATAGTAACCTATTGAATGTCCTTTATGTGCCAGGCACTAATTGGTACTTTGCATATCATCCTGCAAAAGAGGAGTAGTATTATCATCTCCTATTTTATAGGTGAAGAAACTAAGGCTCACAGAAGTTAGGTGACTTACCTAAGTAAGTCTTTGCGCCTGTTGTTTGCCAGGATTCAAATCCAGGTCTGCACTCAGACCCCAGGCACTAGTATGCACACTGCTACAATCTCACCTGAGGTGCCATCTCCATTTCCCTAGCTTGTGTGATGAAGAGCACAGAAATTCAAACTCCATGAATTGCTTCACTTCTCACTTCTTTAGTGAAAATGTTGGCTTGGAAAATGAATGAAGATTAGGATGCACCTAAAAGGTTAGCTTGGAGAAGAGGTGCAAGTTAGGATGTCAGGATTTGCCCAGACTCTGGAAGGCTCGGAGGCCATGCTTGGCACACATATGAAAGGCTGTTCAAAGGAAAACTATGGCTTTATCCTTTGCCTGGCTTAGGCAGAAGAGATTACTCACACTTAACATACAGATGCACATGAGATTACTGTCAAACTCAGCAACCCCAGCAGGGTGCGCTACAACTCTACAGAAGACTACATTGAAAGACGCTACCAACATGTACCAGCAGAGGTCACTGCGAACAATTCTACCTCAGATCCAAACTACGTGGGTTGTTGACTACCTTTCCATGCAAAGGAAGGCAATGATCCAGTTTCTTATCAAGCTTCCAGGAATCCATCTGGACCTCTGCCTCTCCAAGGAAAGTGTTCCTGCCAAAACGACCATGATGCCAAACCGAGAACTGCAATGTCCTCTGGTCCAGGAGAGATTCTGGGATCTCATACTGTGAAAGAAAAGAGAAGCCCAAGATGATTAGTTATTGATAATTCCTCAGCAAAGATTATTCCAAAATCTGAGCAACCATATCCAAAGTGCATAGTCCTGAATATCAAAGCTCTCTAGGCCCTAAACACTTTGTGTTTCCTCATTCAAAGCCTTCATTTACCCCATTTCACAAAAACCTATCACATTCAATGGGAGGACCTGGAAATTAATTTTTCCTTGAGTGGGTAAGAGAACACTGGAACACTGCCTCCCCCACCCCACCCCAGCCCCCCAAAAAAAACCTGCCACGGGTAATCCTGACCCCAAATGACGTTTTAAACTGAGATTTGTGGCCATGTGTATCTCCAACTTCACAACAAGAGAGGCAGATCACCCTGTTCTCTTCTCTGGGATGTCAAGATGTGAACAGATTCCCATAGTATATCCTCAGACACAGACATGGCCACTCAAAGCCATGTCAACCAGCCATATATCCGAGGAATAGCTACAGCTTAGCGCTCAAGAGAATAAGTTATCCTTCCCTCAGGGTCTTAGATACTTACTCTGAAGATCTCATCATATAGTGGATTGATGGTGTCCCGCTTGATGCTGGTTTTTCTTTTTCCTTGCCGGGACTTGTCAGGTAGAAGATAAGTCTTCACATATCTATAAACCAAGAAGAGTACTGAGTCATTCACTGTCTTTCTCAACCCATTCTTCACTTCCCTGCTCTCTCTCTCTATAAGCCATGATGAAATGAAAATGTCACATCGAGCCCTCTTAGAGACGCCATTCTTGCATCTTCCCAGTCCCGGTCCCTTTCCCACACTTCCCCTAACCATTCTCAATCACACCACTCTCTCTGCCCAGGAAACAATAACCTCGGTTCAAGAGTGCCCCGATTGATGCCAGGGTCTGAGCTCACATCTCAGCGCATGAGTCAGGTTCCAGAAACACTCACGGATTAGAGCGCTTCTTGGCTTCATCAGCATAGGCCAGCTGGTGGCACTCCTTCACATGGATGACCAGAGTCTGTGTCTGCTGCTCATACTTCAGGGAAAAAGCAATCTTGCCAGTCACAAAGATGTTCCCAAAATCACCAGCTTCGCTATAGATGCTCATCATGCTGCCAATTGTACTCTGAAGATAAAGACCCACACACATCTGGCAAGGGCATACTCCCCCGCCCACATTGCTCACATCTTTCCTCATGATAAAGCCACAGTCACTGAGGAAAACAAAAGTTTCAGAAGCCCCTGCAACAAGCCAGTACTGCCAACAATTCGGTACCCAGAGTATAAGAGACAGCAAGTAGCACGCTCACAATTGTTCAGGGTAATAAATCAGCTCATGGATCAACCAGGCTCTTAGCTTCTCCTCTTCCCCTCTTTTGACACATTTTATTGTTAATTTTCACCTGCCCCAGAAGGCGAGCAAAGAGTAGCGGTGAGGCAGACCTAAGTCCATTTTTGGTGTATGTTATATGTGCTAAAACGCTGGCTAGAAGCGGACAGTTACTAATTAACACAAGGTGCCTTGATTATCTGTGCAGTTCTTTTATCCACCTGATCCCTATCAAGACCTATGGAGAGAAGTAAATGGGTCAGAAGGGGGAGGGGGAACCCCAGCAGAGGTAAAAAGACATCTTCCTCTTGGGTAGTGATCAGCCCTGCAAGCCTGTCATTCTCTTCCTGTGTGGGGGTGGGAACAAACTCTAATCAACCTGGTTCCTGACTCTTGTTCCCCCTAAACATCAATCTTCACACTTATGACATAACTAGGCCCTGATTCTTAAGTGTCCCTTTAACTTCATGATTCTGATTAGTACTGATGCTCTTTAATCATGCCCTGATGCCAATTAATCCTGCTGGGGCCCTTCTCATGACACTCACTGTCCTTGAATGTGAGATTTGGGGTGGGCTCTGATGAAGAAATCTGATCTTGCTGACTTCATGGCCTGGATAAACTCTTTAGGGGAGAAGTCACGGGTTACTGTTCACAAAACTGAGAAAGCATGTCTCTAGCCCTAATTAGACTCTCTAGGGCAGAGGCTGAGTAAGTCACCTCACAGTGCACTAGGCAACTACAATCTAAATTGAGGATAGGAACAAACGCATCTCATTGACCTGGAAGTAGTGAGTAGGATGATTTCCCCAGCTACTGGCCCTGCTCCAGGGACGCACTTCCTTCCTTTCTGATACACCCCAACATATCTATAGCTACAAAACTAATAGAACTTACCATGGAGGAGCCACTTCGCAAGCTGCTTCTGGCTAGCTTTTGGCGATGCAACTTCACCAGGTGGTCAATGTCTTCTTCCTCCTCCTCCTCTTCCTCTTCCTGGAAGAACAAATAGAGATTCAAAGTTAATAAAAATAAGAAAAAGTTCAAAGACTAATATCCTTCCTTTAGTAGGAGCCGTAATGGTTGCTAAGCTCTGAGGTGTCATGTGCACATGTACTCATGTATTCTTAGTTTTATGTCCCTGCGTATCAGGCTTCCAACCTATATTCCAACCATCTTTCTCAAATATCAAAGAATAGCTCTTTCCCATTTGACTGCCCCAAGCCAGGCATCCCTTTACATTTTAATCCAAATAATTTATTTGAGCCCCAACTATATATCAAGCAATGTATTAGAACATAAGAGACAGTGAAGACAATCTTTTTCTTTAAGCAATTTAGCAACCAGATTTACTTAGAAATTTAGGTGAATCAAGATTCATGTTACCTTTTCCTAAAGTATTAAACAAGTTGATTGAGGAGTCTCAGGTACTAAAGTCAACTCTAAATATATAAAATTGCACATAGTGACCAAGTGAAATACAAGGGTACTTACCATATCCACACTGAGGCCTGGGACAGATTTGCTTCTGTCTCCTAAGGAGCCACTTTCATGCCCCACATCTTCCGGGCGAAGATCAATCACAGATTTAGTGTATTCTGAGTGGAAGACCAAAAACCCAAATCAAAAGAGACTACTCTTCTCCATACCAAGAACCCATCAAGGGTATTCAGAACTTCAATTTCAAAAGGCCATAATAGGAAAACAGCTACCTGAAGGCCTGAGGAATTTTCTGGTGTTCTTCTTGAATATCATTTCACCCTCATCAATAGATACCACATTTTGACCCCCAGACTGAGTTTCCTAGGAAATGGAAAAGGACTGTTGGGTAAGTGGAAAGATGGAATAAGGAAGGCTAGCCTCAAGAAGAATAAGGTTCAGACTTACACTAAACTATAACAACCTTAAAGGAAAGATTAATCTTAGGAATTTAATTTAATACTAGGAAGTAGTCCAAAACCGATTTTCTCACATTTTAACCAAAACCTTATAGCAAATGCTCCCAAGTGAATCTGAACTAAAATTTGTTTAGTTGAATTCTTGATTGGAATTCAAAGAGAGAGAGAGAGAGACAGAGACAGAGTGAGAGAGAGAGAGAGAGAGAGAGAGAGAGAGAGAG